GGGGGGCTCGCCCCCAGGTTGGGAACCACTGCCATATATGTACCAATACTCTAAATCATAATATTCGGTCAATCAAAGTTGGTTATGGTCTACACGGTCACCACCAATGTCTCGCACATTATTTTCCCTAAAAAAAACACACCACGTGCACTGTACCTACATTTAATCTATACAGCGCTAATATGACAAAATATTATCTTAATGTCATAACTTATCGTAAATCTATTCATTGTTAATTCGTTGGTAAATTTATCGTGCGCGATATACAATTTAAAATGTCTTTCAATTTGAAAAGATGTTTTTTTTTCAGAATTTCAAATATTTATTTTACATATTTAACAATTTTTTGTGTATATTTTGTCTGTTTTAATTGTTAACTTAACAATTGTTCAATATTTCCATACGTTAGATTAATTTTTTGAAGTGAGACCGTGAAGTAAGGTAAATTTTAGTATATACTTAAAAGACTTAAGATAAAAGCAATTCATAGTGTATTATTAAATTTATTATATTAGATACCTACACATTTTAAAATTAATCGAATAAAATATTTGTTCCTACATTCCTGTTTTTTGTTATAATTATAGATTAAGTACCTTCACACTATATAATAATTATTATTACCTATTAAATAATATAGTCATTTCAATATAAAAAAAAAACAGTCGACTGCAAAAAAAAAATAATTATACAAAGTTATTTGGTTAGATAATCAATCATTAATTCAACCTAAAAAATATCAAATAAAGTTTTTCACTATAGAGGTACAAAATTTCATTACCTACTAATATATTATGTAGTAGAAATATTAAACGGTAAACTACTATAATACTAATTAATAAACAACGTTTAAGCTGTTGATTTAAACGAAATAATTGAACTGTTGAAACACAAGAGACCAGAAATTATACCAAAGGAATATAATATTCTATTAAAAATCCAGTGTACGCGTGGATTGTATCGTATCGACATTGGAATTGTAAATACACAGTTTAACCACTCTACCCTGTATGAAAGAATTGGTGTTTAAAATCAAACATAAAAAAAAAAAAAAACGGTTTACTGAACAAGATTCACCCCGTACTTTGCACTATCATAACTTAATATTTTAATCGCTGTCAGCGTCGAAAATGCTACTCGAAAATTAACTCGTTCGCGCACGTTTTCAGAACGTTCAGTCGTTGGTATCTACTTGACGTCACATCGTCTAAAAAATATCACTTTCACTTTTCATCCGTTGATGTAGTAGCAGAGGAGGAGATTCAGAAATTTTCCATTGGGGCGGGGGGGGGGGGGGGGGCATAGAAAAAAAAAGATCATCAGATAAAAGTTTGACCCGTTAATAATATCTTTTTTTTATTTAATTTGAGGGGAGCTTCACCTCCCATTTGGATAGTTGTCATCAAATTATATTATAGTCACAAGTAACGACAACGGTACCGACTACTGCTGAGATGAGTGAGGACAATCGAGTGCCGACGGATGTATTGAGCCCGAATTCTAAAAAATTCGGTCAGTCGATAATCTCAACGATAATAACTGCGCCATCTACTGTTGCCGTTGGGTTGTTCATGTCCGATAAAATATCCCGCGAAACTGCCGTTTATTTTAACCGATAGATTGCGCTGTCGTAATGAATTTCAGTTTTAAAAAACGTATAATTTTCAAACTTTTGATTTCCAGCTGAGAGTGAACCATTTCTGTTAATTTTTAGTTTTCCCTTGTACGATAATTTTACATTTCTACCTGAGGTGTGAATAAAATAATATATATTGATTTTTTTTAAATTTCAAACAATGAAAAAAAAAATCATATATTTGATGTATTACCTAATAATATTAAGAGTTATAAAGACATTCATATTAAAGCAAATACAATTTGACATTAGTTACATAGAACACCATTGATCATAGTGAATTATGATATGTATTAATGTATTGATGAAGATATGAATAAAACGGTATGTTAAAAAAGTCTTTGATCTTGATCGTGATTGCTGCACATTGTCTTTATTAGGTACTGAGATTGATAATAACAAATGAATTTTGAAACAAATATTTCATTCTTTATTAGTTATTTTCATCAATTATTATTTTAATTTTATTTAAATAATAACTGTGGCTTTAATTAAATTGCTCAATATTTGTTCTATCCTAGTACTGTACTGAATACATTTGTTAATAAATATGCAATAATAGAGCAACTAGAAGATAGAAGTATTAATTTCAATCCACAGTTTGAGCTTTATTCTAAATTCATGAAAAATGTTGTGCAATAAAGATGATGTACCTATTTTTTTTTAAATAAAATTCTTTACAAGAATAAAGCAATTTATTCATTTATTAAATTTATATAGATTGTAACAACATTCACACTCAAGTTAAAATCTCAGTTTTTATGCTTAGAGATTATACATATTTTTAATTATTAATTTATAATGCAACATTTTTAACAAGATTTAATTAGTTATTTATAGTTTACTGATAAACATATTAAAGTTATAATAACACTTGGATTAAATTTTTAAATTTAATACATAGCAACTCACAACTTCTTTAGTTATTTCTTATGTTTTGATTAGTGTAATAAATATTTTAAGTTTTAAATGTTCATTTTGCTACTTTTAGAACACTTACAAAGTTCATATTGTAATAATTATATGCATAACATTATTTAATTAGGTATGAAAGTAGTTAAATATTTGTAGAAATAAATTGATAACTATACGTCATGGTAACGTATTGTTTTAAATTTTATTATGTACACATTATTGTTACAAAATAAAATTGTTTTAATGTATGAACACAATGACATTTTGATAAATAAATAATAAATGTCAAATTGGATTTAATATCCATATTATAAAGTTTAATTTCAATTATCTAGTACAAATACAATTATATAACAAGAAAACAATACTATTATTATTAAAGTAATCACATTAAGTTATAAAAACATAGATTTAACCATTTTGTTTAATTTGCTATAACTATAGACAACAGACTTCAATAAGCCGGCTGTTGGTATTCCTTTTATACTTTGCATAAGACTTGAATAAAATACTATTCTATAAATACCATAGCGCACAATTTTACTAATATCATTTTGTTTTGCTAATTCTTCTAATATTCTGTCATCATTAAATTTGTTTTTATAAGATCTGAATAAAATATTCTTCAAATTTTGTGGTAATCTTTGTAAATGATACAATTTGCTCTCCAAACTCTTGTCCTGTTCTACAAATGAATTAATAGACAACTTATCACTCATTGATTTAAAAACTGGGGTGTATAATGCCCTAAACTTTTCTATTTGAGGTTGTACAATGTTGGCCACTTTGTTCTTGTCTTCGCCAATAATCATACGAAAATCTCCTCGATACGATAGACCTGCAATAGCAATGTATAAATCTGTTTCTGTAAATTTTTCGGGTAACTGAAGAAGGGCAGCATGCATAGCGCTTCTTAAATTATGCACGATCAAATCACTTAATCCTTTATCACGTAGTGTTAACACGGGCTTGTGAAGTCGACCTGCTATGTAAAGTGTACACCATGATTGTAAATCTTGAGAAAAATCTTTTATATCTATAACACCATACTTGAATATTAAATTGTCTACTGTGATATGAGTATTAAAATAAACATTAGCACCAAATGAAGACTGAACACTTGATACGACAGACGGTCCTAAGTAACGAATTGATGAATAATGATCTGGATTTATTGCTAAATTATCTCGATGGAAGTTGTGTGTATTGTTTACAACAAATATTAGGTCCACCATTGCACGATCTGTACGACCAGCCTGTTGAAATACACCAGATCCATAAGCAAAGCAGTACACCAAATGTTGAGTAGGGAATTTAGTAAGAATCCGATTTAAGCCCACCAACATGGTTATATTAATTGATGAAATTGCATAAAATAAAAAAATCTATTTATTGTAAATTTAATTATTAACTTCAAATTAAATAAGTAATATTTACGTTTTTACGAAGATTTAAAGATGAGTAATGGTTTTAAAATTTATAAAACCCAACATCTTAAGTTTTCTGAAATACCTCAAACCCGCTAATAACGACAGTAGCGTACTGAGTGAAGTTTTAAACACTGAACAAGAACTTCATTTTTCATGTTTTTAGTAAATCCAAAACAAGAGTTTAGATTTATGGTTTATCAACTATCAACACTTTATTATGTTATCTCTTATTTTTCTATTGGTTTATTCAATAATAGATAAAATTATCTATAGCCGTGCAACAAAGTATCTAATAAAACTGCTATCTGCTGGTAAAAAAAAACAACATTGATAGTTTTAGAAAACTAATAATATTATTAAAAAGCTATAATTGATAGCAGCACTAGTAATAAAATGTAGAGAATTAAACAAAAATACTATTTTATATTTCTAAATTCTCTCATAGACCTATGACAATACCTATTATGCAAATAGATTATCAGTTTATTAGTTACTTAATTTCTAATAAATGATTAATTATTTTATGTAGGTAAGTTACTTACCTCATATATATCTATTCATTTTCTTTAACACAAAACATTTTTGTGACTCTACAAATCAACTTTAAAGTGAATTATTTTTTTATTTTATGAATTTATTGATAAAAATTAAAATAATGTAACATCTATTAAAGTAGTCGTATTTTTAACTAAGAAGCACTTTATAGCTTATATTTTTTATAGTTAATACAGTGACGGCCAATAATTGAAGTCTGAGGAGATCATAGTATACATTTATACTAAATCAGAAAATTAATTTTTATTCTATATTTTTATACGATTGATAAATGGTTAGTATTAGGCACAAGTGCACAACACAATATGTACAAAGCACTTAGTTAATTGTGATGTTTTTCTTACACTTAAAGTTTAATTGTCTTCACAATTCTCAATTTCCATATCAAATCTGGTTAGTGATTTATGTCCTCTTCACATCGTTATTATAATGTGCCGTAATCGTACTAAATGAGTTTTTATTTTTTAAATTCTTTAATATTATCAGACATTCAGACAAGTCATTTTCATAATATAAATTTTTACTTGTAACTTACTATTAAATATTATTTAAATTTTGAATTATTAATTTAAAAATATATTTACACAGAGGGTTGGTTTCGGTGTTTTAATTTAACTTAAAGAAGAAAATGGGAGTCATGGTAAGCCATTCATCATTTTACAAGAATGTATTAGTGAGTATATTTATACTAAAGAGCATGGCGCAATTTGGTGGAATTTTAGGGTGTTAAGCACCCGCAGAACACTTGTTTAATTTAGAACTTAAACTAGTGAATTAATTTGTATAATACGACGAATAAAAAAATGACTACGAACTAACACGAGTGAGTGTACGATACAAAAACGATTTTCAACTATGATATTGTTGTTTAATATTTAAACCGATTTAATAAATTAATTAAAACTTAAATTTATCATTAATAAATGTGCAACTGAAGTCAGAATAATATTGCTTAAGCACAGATAAGTAGCATTGTTAGTGATAAATCTTCTATTTAAGTAGGCACCCAATTGATTATTATTATTAAAAATATTGTGGATAAATTAATTAATTAATTTACACCATAAGCTTCGTATAATTTTAGCAACCCAAAATTTAAGGTCTTTATATTGTGCTTATGCTGACTGCTGAGTAGTTGTAGTCCTATTTCTCACTAACCTAGGTATAGTAAAACAGCTTTGAAATGTTTACGTCCAGTCATAATGCTTGCATTTTTTCTTCCATTGGTACGTTATGATGAATATTTCTATTTATTTTTATTTTTCACTCTCTAGTCTCTTGTAAATTACATTAATACACCTATGATAATATATTATTATTATAATTAAGTTTTTAATAACATGTACTGGATTTAATGACTTAAACGTCTTAAACTATTATACGTATGCAAAAATAAAATATTAATATAAATTTATACAAATTCTATTAATTTACGTTCCGGAACGAATAGTTTAAAGTTTATTTATATGTTGTTCCGTGTGATTGCGTAATAGCATTATTAACAACGTTCTGGAACAATTGGTTATATTGTTCCGTTACGGGCACATGCTTATAGAATATAGTTACTTATATTTAGTGTAAAAGCCGTGTAAGTACGATATTAATCTTTATTCTTTATTATTTTTTGTTTAATTTTGTTATGGTACCTATTTTAGATTGGGATAGAACTAAATGACTATCCCGTCAACCGTTATTAGACATTAATACAATAATACATTATCATGGCGCATATTATAAACCTACAACCTACTTTATATGTGTACACTAAAATTAGTTAAATGTATTCACAATTACATTTAAAATTATGAGTATTGTATACATTTTGTTAAAACCAAGTTTACTGAGTCTATATTTATTTTATAGCTGAAAGAACAAATTCAATGGAAAATAAAATATCGTTAGTGTGTAAGAGTATTTCATATAGGTAGTTACTTCCTAATTAAAATTATACATAAATTTTATAAATACTAATTTATTTTATGAAAAGTACCTTATCTTAATATTGTTTACAAATCTTTAAACACAAATAGGTACATAATAATGAAACTTAATAACAACTGTCCAGTTTAGTGACATGTCGGTGTGTGGCCTGCATTATATAACCTCTAAAAATCAGTGAATTTATGTCTGTGCAAAAAAAACTTTGAAATGAATTTATTCAACAAATTATGTAATTATCATTTCATTTTAAGACCATTATTTTAAATACTCACCTAAGATTATTAATTAGATAAGTACCTCCTACTAGATAGTTTAGATGAAATTGGTTACCTAGTAGATTAAGAATTTGATTATAAATCATAAAACATACTATAACACGAAAGATGGATAATAAAAACCTAACCTAACCTGATTAAAGTTTGTGGTAAATATTTATAGCCATAATGTTGTAGAAAAATTCGTTTAAGTAATGCATATTTTTTTGATTATTCAACTATTATTGCAATAAATAAATAGGTACTAAATGTATAGGTTTTATTTTTATTACATATTTATTCAACTTGTTTTGTTAGTACCTACCTATTTTACGAATAAGTATATTATGACGTATGCCAGAGTTTAAATTTGAGCATGAATATTAAAATTAATTATACCTACTGTATAGACGGTACATGTTTCTTACATTGAACTCTGAAAGATCTTTTTTTTTTATATAATTTATATTTGTGATCAAATAACTCTAATTTTAATTGCTGAAATAGGTTTATATTAAAAATATATTTACATAGGTAGGTAAATGTAATAAAGCTGGCACTTTGCTGTAATATATACATATAGAATATAGATTCTGATGTAGATACCTACTAGCCATTAATAGGTTATAACCTTAATAGATAGTAAAATTGTATAATAGTGACCAATACCTGTTATATGGTTTATTTTTTTCCACGGTCAAATATAGAAGAATTACCAAATAGGAACATATTTTTTTTCAGATCCACTGGTGGTATGTGCAGACATTGACAAAGTGGCAGTTTTGTTGAATGTTATTTTCTAAGTATCAAGATAAGAGAACATACAAAAAAATGCAATTAACACTGATGTATTTCTCGTAAAAAATTTTACTAGCGCAACATACTGTAAGTAGATTTCTTGTTTTATATTTATTTTGAACGATATTTTACGAGTGTAAATGTAGTCCGAAGCACGTTTCATGCAGACCTGACCTACGATCAGTTTTTAATTTTGTATTTTATTGTGTTTTCTATACACTTGGTTATAATATACTTACAGCCAACAGTTATGTACGGAACGTGCCACTGGACGCGTATACGCACGTAAGAAAGTCGGAGCTGTTTATGTGGCTAAGTCTATACATTTATTTGTTTTAACAAAACTCTGTGTGATCGCGTAAATTCCAGCCAACCTTGTTAACATTATATTTTATTAGTTGAAGTAGACTTTTGTCTGTATCTGTAAATAATATATAGATATGTGATATAGAAATATCAGGATTATAGGAGAAAACCAGAAAACATTAATTTTTTTTATAAAGTTCTCCTTATTTAACATATTTTCTAAAATAATATTAAAAAATAGTAAAATCTTAAATATATTACAATATAAGTTATAGGATATTCGTGTGATTATCAATACTTTATAACTCCAATACGTCGTTTTTATTGTAAGCATAATGCATATTTAATAATATTAAGCAAAAAATGTATGAAACGATTTTTCGAGTAGGGGAATGTATAAAACTATTATTTATAGTTATCTATTAGGTAAGATATCGAATGCATTTTATAATAATGTTTAGGAATTGGTGTGCTTTTTTTTGTTTTATAACTTACACAGTAGCGTATGCATGAAATCATGCAGTATTAATGTGTTTTAAATATCTATTAGAAATCAAAATGACTGAACAACTTGGTTTATTATAATCTATTGTTCCACGTAAAAAACGTTATTGAAGTCATTGAATTGGAAAACGACAAGCATATATAAAATATATATTATATGCACAGATAATTACCAAATTAACTGTATAATTATGTATATCCAGTAATATATTTTATATAAAAAAGTCAAACTGTGAATAATTATAAATATATATTAATTAGTAAACACGCAAAGTTGTCCACCAATCAGTATTTAACCTGTAAAATAATTAAAATTCATAAATCCCATATTGACATTATTAAATGTTATATATTTTCTCAGAAATTATGATTTTGTACAAAATTAAATCGGTATCGTATTCATCCCGCCCTAAATTTCTGCTCATAACGTTCATATTATTATGTATGAATAATGACCATGAAAAGAGTTGGGTGAAATTATTATTTCAAAATATGAGAGCAGCGGGGGTATTTGTAAAAATCCACAGGAACCGAGTAACACGACTCTGCAGTGGTTCATTTTTCAAAAGAATAATACTGTACGTGTATTTATATTGTACATGGAATACATACCTACTTATTTTTTCCAAACATTTTTATGCTACCAAACGAAAGGGTTTTTGGTGCCTTTTATGTCCACATACAATAACCCTTTCATATTTCAAGTCTTTTTCAATAATACATCTGGAACTAGATATTGTTACTGTTGGACTGCGGTGAAAACACCAAACATTATTGTTATCATTCAAAACCATCTGCCATGAAAAAAAATCTTATTTTACATGATTTTCCAATGA